ATCACTGTGTGATTGGGTGGACTTTGAGTGAGTGGTATCTTTATTTTTACATTTCTTTTTCTTACTACATTTGCTTGACAGAATTTAAGTTTAACGCATTTCCTTCCTCTTATCAGCATCTTTCTTCATCATGAGAAAAGATTAATGTTAGACTTGTTTTTTCTAGTTATCTTTGGATAACTAGAATAATATAATTTATAATCTTTATAATCTCTTTCTGCTATTTGCACATTTTTTACTGTAAATTCCTAAGTTAATTTGTAAATTTTGTAGTAACCTGTAAATTGTAAATACTGTAAAAGTTTTTTTCTGTCATTTAATGGTCGGGCATTGTACAGCTACAAGCATTTCACCCCCATGTCATACTGTGTATGGTTGTGTGTGTGTGACAAATAAAATTTGAATTTGAATTTGAACTTGACAAGCTTATTTGAGTTTACTTTTGTTGACATGCATGCAAGACTTGGAAGAAGTATCCTAGAAAGCATAAATCAGGTAAACTTACATCTGCACGTTTAGCTGGCAGTTCTCTAAAATTGTATTTTTGCACCAACAACATAATTCCCGGCCCTGCGACAGACTGGCGACCTGTCCAGGGTGTACCCTGCCTCTCGCCCTATGACAGCTGGGATAGGCTCCAGTGCCCCCCACGACCCTGAAAAGGATAAGCGGAAGCGAATGGATGGCTGGATGGATGGAACATAATTCCCAAAGAAAGCTGAAAAGTTTTAGCACAGTGGGCAGTGTGTCCTTAAAATGAACAGCTAGAGCACAAGAGAAGAAGAGGGAGGACTAAAAGATTATCTACAGCTGGTATTCAGTATCTGAAAGTCATTTCCTTAGGAAGGGTGGCCGTCAAGAAGCCATTCTTAAGGAAGGAAGAAAGGGGTGAGGTATACCAAATTGCTCAACAACTGGAAGGAAAATCAATGAAACAGGTCTTGGAGTGATGAGTCCTTGTGACTGGAATTATGGTCTGTATGTATGGAGGAGGTTAGGAGAGAGGTGAAATAGTGAGTGTCTATATGGTGGAGGCTCTGTCATTGTTTGGGTCTGTGTTTCAGCCACTGCTGTTGGGGATCCTGACAAAACCATTAATGCAGAAAAGTGCCATCAGACTTTAATCCACCATGGGAAAACATCTGAATGGCAACAGTTTTATTTTTCAACACACACGCTGACAATGCAGTAAGAGCATACGTGGAGAGAAAAACACTATCATCAATGGAGCCAGAGCCTGGACCTCAACAAAATTGAAGCAGTGTGGGATCACCATGACAGAGAATGAGACAAAAGGCAGGCGACATCCAGAGAAGAGCTTTGACTGTTCTTCAACTTAAAGGCTACCTGAAGAAATGACAAGAAAGCCGCCTAAGAGAGTTCAGACTGTGAT